GATGAAATCCCATAAAGTCCTTGGAGGTAGGCCAGACCCTTCCTTCCTGCCCGCTCTTCCAAGTGCCAGGTGTTACCGTAACAAGCTCCAGTGTCAGGGAAGGAAAGCCCGGGCAGTAGACAGCGGTACCAGCTCTCACCAGAGGACACACTCCCCCGACCCTGATCGTGGCCACCTGGGCAAGACGAAGTTAGTCCAGGAATTATGAAGTCTGCATATTGATTTAGAGTTAATTGTCCCTGATTGAAAAGAGATTGTTTCTTTATTCCTAGCCAAAGTTGTTAGCTCACCCTCTCCCCTACTACCTTCCTCCACATTCCCCTGCCTTTTCTCTCTTAAATAAACCTCCTACTCATTTAGCCTGAGTGGCTGCAATCAACCAGAGATTAGTGCCACCGCTAATGTTAATAATATGCAAAAATTTCATTAGGAGCTGCTGTGGTTTCCCTGTTTGATTTGCCTATCAGCACAACTGGCTGAAGGAAGGGGAATGTTGGGGAGAAACCACCATGCAGCAAATACGGCCTCCCAGAGTCCCTTTCCAGGTGGGCCTTCCGGAAACGGGAAGATGTAGACCGGAGATGTCATCAGCTGGGCAGCCGGGAGTCCTCCATCCGGGGCTCTGAGCCCAGCTCTCATGGTCTCCCCTGGGCAGTTGCAGTGACCCTGACTTTCCCCTGAGTGTCAGAACTTTCTGTACCGTCCCTTTATTTCCTCTTCTGGATTTCCTAGGATGAAACAAGTGCCACTTACCATTGTTACACCTCGGTGCTGCCTGCACCGCACACTTTGTGGGAATTTAATAAATACTTGTTGACCGACTGGCAGTCTTATATATGAGGCCTTACTGTATCTTAGCCTTTGTTGTATGTACGTGCTGGCTGCTGGGAGATACAACAAATATAGAAATCTTGTTCTTGCTGGACTGAAATAATGTAATTCAAAAGAGTTTAACTTGTAAGAGGCAAGCCAGACACACGCAAGCATTTTAACTATTATTACCAACCTTGAGGACAGCAACCAAGCAACAGTAAAGCATCAGGGCACATAGCAGGAGGTGACGGTGTGGAGGCAGAGGGAGGGAGATGCGTGGCCCCTTGCTGGGTGCCACCCCATTTCCTGACCTGCGTCTCCACAGGCTGGATGGAAGCCGCGGAATCTGAGAGCCAGCAGAGTACAGTCAAAAGGGGCAGGTGGGCAGGTTTCGCCCGATGCCTCGGGACCCTTTCTAGCAACAGACAGGTGGCTCCGTTAGCAGATGGCGCTGCAGGTTGCATCTCCTCTTTGTCTTGGGCTCACTCCCCTCCTGCAGCACCTTCCTGTCCTCTTCCTTCAGCTGTCATCCAGCTAAGGAACACCTCTGCATCTCTGACACTGAGACCGTTAAGTGTCGTCCTCTCTGTGAAGACTTTCCAGATAACGCCCCTCTGGGTAGACGTGCTCACACCGCCCTGGCTCCCACACTGGACCCCACCCATGCTTCAGGTCCAACACCCAAAGTTCGTGATTGCACGTCTGACATCCCCACGAGCCCAGCAGCATGCAGACTTCTGCAGGACAGGGGATGGGTCTTATTCACACTGGACCCCCAGTTGCCAGCATAGCTCCTGGTATACAGCAGGTGCTAACTGGAAGAAAGGGAGGGGAAGGAGGGAACACAGCGGGGCAGGTGAGAGGCCGGGAGTGGGGTCTGTTCAGCATGCCCGCTTAGGGATGGGAATCAGTTAGCTCCACTTGAACTGTTCAGTGCCAGGGCCCTCACCATGTAGGAATAAGCCCATACGACCGGGCAGGAAGGGCGTGGCCTTCAGTAGTAGTCATACAGTAGAGGGCAGAGAATAAGACACACAGCCCAGGTTCCAGGCTATTTAAGGTTTGCCAACCAGACATGCCTTGTATCTGTGGCATAGGGGGCAGACAGTGGAAGAGAGAGTCAGAAATTCCATTTTCTAGTACCTGTCATGGCTGCCTTGGACCCCAAAGTCTTGTGTTCTCAGGGCAGATGGTGAGTCCTGTGGTCCAGGCTGGGCATCGAGCCCTTCAGTGCCCATCAACGCCGTATATCTCTGAACAGATTGTTCAACCTAGCTGATCTCCACGTCCCCGGAAAGTGAACTGATGACATAGAGAAGGCCCCTCAGAACCCCTGCTTCCCAGCCTTTTCTCTCTCCAGGGAAAGGCTGGGCATCGAGCCCTTCAGTGCCCATCAACGCCGTATATCTCTGAACAGATTGTTCAACCTAGCTGATCTCCACGTCCCCGGAAAGTGAACTGATGACATAGAGAAGGCCCCTCAGAACCCCTGCTTCCCAGCCTTTTCTCTTTCTCCAGGGAACTGTCAAGGTCAATGTAAAGTGCCCCCCTGCCCCCCCCCCGGCTCCCTTGACCATCTGCCTCTTCCCCCCACACAGCCTGCCCCTGAGGTTTTGGGTCAACATGATCAAGAACCCCCAGTTTGTGTTTGACATCCACAAGAACAGCATCACTGACGCCTGCCTGTCGGTGGTGGCCCAGACCTTCATGGACTCCTGTTCCACGTCGGAGCACCGGCTGGGCAAGGACTCCCCCTCCAACAAGCTGCTCTATGCCAAGGACATCCCTAGCTACAAGAACTGGGTGGAGAGGTGAGTGCTGGGCCGAGGAGCCCAGGTAGGCCCTGGGCCACAGCAGGCAACTTACTTGGTGGATGTGGGACCCCTTCCTTCCCCTCCGCAATGGGCAGGGCTTGCAGACTGGTCCTGCACGAAGCCCCAGCCTGCAGTGGTGACACCCACAGCCCACGGACCCAGTACTGTCAGCTGAAACAAGAATGGGACATGACTAGAAGTTGCCACTGTGCTCTGCTCCCCTGCATGGAGGGCCCAGCTCTTTCTAGGCCCAGGAAGGAAATAAGAGTTCCCTGCCTACTAAAAAACGAAAAAAAAAAAAAAGAAAGAAAGACTCCAAGGGACCGAATAGCATCCTGCTACAGGCAGGCTGGAGGCCTGTCCCCATCTGCCCCTGTCCATCTGGCAGTTCTTCCAGTGTCCTGTGGGGACGTCCTTGTCACACTGAACAGCTTCGCACAGTCCCAGTCCCCTGACTCTCAACACGATGAACTCTTGATGCCCGGGCCCTTAGGGTGCCGTCCCAGCCATAGTGGGCCTAACCTAATCCAGTCTCAGCCGTGCACCTGTGATGGGAGGGCCACCTGTACGCTGTGCAGCTGGGTTCCTCTTGGTACAAAGCTAACTCACAGTAAAGAACATTCATGGTTTGTCTGGGCTGTATCAGCTCCATATGCCAAGCACCTGAGCTAAACAACCAGCTGAAAGTCATTTATTTATTCATCACAGTAGCTCCGGAATATAAGAGGACAGGCTTTATAACCTCATTTTGTGCCCATGAAGGTGAAGAACTATACATACAGAATGGTTGAGTAATCAGTCCAAGATGACTTAAGTGGCCAAGAGAAAAGTAGATCCCCGAATTCAGCTGACTCCCAAATCTCTTTTCTACAATTTATGGTACTTTTAGACAGGGCTTTTGCCAACCCATATGGTGTCTGTGTGAATTAAGGCAGGTGCCCCTTCCTACCAGACGATGTGGCCCCATGCCAGGATGCATGGTTTGTTGAGTGGCAGGCTAGCTGTCAGTCCTAGCTCACCCTCTCAACCAAGCACCTTTGTGCAGTGAACAACCTGCACACCTCTACATGGCGGTCTTGATTTTAGAGTCCCTCTCTCTTTCTTCTAAGTAGCTTAAAGATAGGAAACCTGGATGGAAACTCAGATTTGGTGCTTCTTTGAAGAGTCAGAGACCAGAAATTGTTCTTGACTCAGTGACTGAGACAAAATGAACAATATTGTTTCACCCATGGAAGAGAGACAGTCTCCATCTTTATATAGTTGAAAATTGTCTTCCCTTTTACAGAGGGAATAACCGAGAGTGGGGTGGGATCCTGGCCACCCCAGTAACATGATTCTACTGGAAGAATTGCATTTTGTTTTCCCTCTCCCTCTGTTCTTTGATATTTCCCCCACCCCTTCCTGATGGTGCATGTGGTGGGCTTCCAGCCTCGGCTGTCAGAGAGACAGCTCACTCTTTTGTCCTCGTATCTGATTATGTCTGAGTCACCAAAGAGGCTCTTACCTCCCCCTGCGTCGACAGTGGCTCATTCTTCTGACAACAGAGCCGCCAGGACGAGCAAGCTCTCCCGTGTGGTCAGCTGGCTCTTCAGCAAAGAGAGAGAAGAAAGAGGCAGCAGCTGGGCTCTGGTTATCCCTGTCCCGGTGCAATGTCACTGCAATGGGACCTCGGGCAGGGAGGGAGAAAGCAGGGACGTGAAGGGCTGGGAGCATTTATGAAACATCTGTGTGGAGGATACGTCCCCAGAATGGCCCGGTTAGTCAGAGGTGAGAATAATGCACACGCCGGGCTAATGGTCTCCCTTTCACTTGGTGCTAAATGAGATTTGTGCCACGCAGCGGCTATAGCTCACAAGTAACCCCAGTCCATTTGGTCATTTTTAGGAGTGCCTTGATGATCTCCATTTCTTATCCCGCCCGTTTCTTAACAACCAAAGGCACTCTCAAGAAAGTCATCTCTCACTTGCTGGGGTCCCAAATCATTTCTCCTCCCCTTCTGGGATGAGGGTACAAAGATAGAGGGGTTGGGAAATAGCACAGATAGGTCTGGAGATCAAGCCTAGAGTGCTTCCTCCCTCGGTGGTGAGTGGATCAGTTCCGGTCTCCCTTCCCGAGGAGGCTGGCCTCTGAGCTTGTCTGGCTGCTGGGAGATGAAGTCCGGCGGCACAGAGCTTGCTCAGGACCCACAGCCAGCCTGATCGCCCACCTTGGCCTGCTGAGAGCACGGGCAGCCTCCAGTTCAGAAGAACGATGGTAGAAGGCCCTTTTCTTGTGGCCAGGGCTTGCCCACTTCTGATTTCGATGTTCGGTTGCTGTGAGCGTGCAGACAGCGCACACAGGGCCCAGGCTCACTGTCTCAGTGCCGTAGAGCGTGCCCTGTGCACATCTCGGGGGAGGGCCTGCTGTCCTCACAGCTGAGAAACAGGGTTTATTCTGGTGGCCCTCTCTATCAGGGGGTGGGAAGCATACGGCTTCAGGAGTCCTCACTAACTCTGTTGGTTGAGCAGCCCAAGTCACTCTATCATACCTAAGCAGCTTTACCTCCCAGAAGTTCTTCATCTACCCATCCCCCCACCATCCCCTCCCCTTCTCCCACTCACCCTCCCATCCTTCTGCTTGTCCTCTCATCCACCCTCCATCCCATTCCTGCCTCCAAATACCTTGCAATGCTTGTGGTTGGTGACGTCACTGCAGGCTCCCAGTCTTTGCTGCCTCCATTCCAAGTATTAGGGGTTTTGCTTACGGCCACACCTAGTAAAAGGGAGAAGAATCTCTTGGTTCCCCAGTAGCAACCAACTGCTACCCTCATCTCAGAGGACAGAACTCAACAGTGTTGTCACCAGACTGGTGTGTCATGATCAGCAGAAATTTCTATTGCACTGTCAACGGCAGTACAGTGTCATGTTAGGGTGGTTGCCTCTCATTTTAAATTGGAATTAACCCCGTGGCAACGGCAGCCTCCCTCACCTGCAGGCACAGGTTTTCCTGGAATGGAGCCACAGTTGGGCCCCTGGGAATTGGACCCGGGCATGCCACTCGCTGGGATGCCATCTCTCACCTGTGTCACACATGAAACAGGCTAAGAATCTTAAATATTTAAAAATGCCTCCTAAAGAAGCCATCCATTCCAAATATAAAACTTGTGACAGTTCACCCTGGGAGCAATACTGGAGGTGAAAGTATGGACCTCTCATTAACTTATACATTCATCCATGGGTCATTTATGGGGTCCATCGTGGGCGCACTGGACGCTCGGGATGGATTAGACTTGATCCTTCCCTTGTGGCCCTCATCATGGTCAAGGAGGACACACAGACAGGCCCTCAGCAAGCACCATCAGCTGTGGGGGCTCAGGGAGCAACGTTCTGATTCTGCTGGGCCTGGGGAGGTCAGTGAATGAACACAGAGGAACAGACTTTTATGCAGGAGCTTGAAAAGTAAGTATCTATACATCAGAGCCTTGGGATCTAAATGTCCTTCACGTCTGCACCTTCATCCTTGAGGTGTTTGAAGGGATGAGGATACTTTGTTCTTCTCTAAGAGTCCAGGGCATTGGAGACCACCTTCTCAATCACTGGGGCCATCCTAAAGGCAGAGATGGGGTGCCCACCATCACACACTGGGTGCATCTCACAGAAGCACATGAATGTAAAACACTGCAGACTGGGCAACAGCAGAGAATCCAGCTCTCCAGCATCAGGACCACAGTGGGGCTGGCATCCCACCTGGTTCCCCTCTGGAGAAGGGCTCGCCTGCAGGAGGACATCCCATGGGAGCAAGTGCAAGCACAGGAGCCCAGGCTGACCTTTCCCTTCCTCCCGGCACAGCTATAGCGGATAAGAGCGCTCGTGTGGAGTTCACTGATGGGACATAATTGCATTCTTCACAATCAATAAGGCTGTTCAGTGGCAGAGCCCAGTGCAAAGCCCCAGCACAGCAGGCGCTCGAGAGAAAGCAGTTGTGCACACAGTGCAGAGATGCCAGAGCAGGGCCACTGTCAGGCTCAAGGGGTGTTGGCCAGGGAGTGGGGTTGGGCAGAGCCCTGGCGAGGAGCAGGGAGAGGTCCAGGCAAGGGCAGCAGAGACCTGCAGGGGGGATGGGCCCACTTAGCTCCAGGCAGGGCTTGGGGTGAGGATGGGCCGAATGTCAGCAGACCTCAAGCCCCACACTCCTCTAGGACATCAGACTGCCCAGAGCCACTCAGCTCAGCCATTTAGAACTTGCTGAAGGTGAGGACGTGCAGTCGATCCACTCGTAGGCTCGTATGTGGCACCGACGTGCACTGGGCCCATCCAGCGCCCTCTGCACACAGGCAGCAGAGGAGGGGCGGGTTGCCCCGTGCAGACCTGACCTCACTATGAGCGGGAATCACGCAGAGCACATCCAGGCCGGCTGCCCCCATGACTGCAGGTGAGGAGTTAGACCCCTGCCCTCCCACACTCCCCTCTCAACCCCACCTCACACCCTCTCCCTCTCTTTCTCACACAGACTCATTTTCTGTATATCCTCTTTGGAGCAAAGGACTGGGCTTTTAGTGCGGTAAAGGCAGGCCATTGCGAAGGGACAGAGTGCCGGGCGACTGCTGTTTCCCATGAAGACAGTGGCCCCTAACCTGGGCTCTGAGGCCCCTCACAACCATTAAGGTCACAGTAGGAGGCCTCATGCTATTTGCAGAAAGCCTGACAGAGCCGTCCACCTACCTGTAAGGTTTCACGAGCAGGTAGCAGGAAGGGCAGGAGTCTTTGCTTCTGATGACGATCACGTGCCATCAGGGGATCCTGGGGTTTTCCTCGCGGTCAGTAGGTCTGGCTGTCTGCGGTGACAAGAGTGAAACTGTTTGGAGGAAACTCTGGACCCAGCCATGTTGCCAGAGCTGCGTCTGGCTGCTGGCCGCGACACAGAAGTGAGAGGCTCGTTTGTTTGTTCCTATTTCCTTCCCCCATACGACCTGTGGACGTGACCCTTTACCGGACGAATGTATTTGCTCACTAGGCATGGAGTCACGAGGGGACGATGGCACAAATCTCCTTAGGAGTGGCGAGGTTGGGGACACCACTGACGCCCTGGTTCTCTGCTATCAAAGGGAACATTGCATTTTTTGCCTTCCAGAAAATAGAGGCAATACATCGAGTCTCTCCCTGGAACTTTAGCACCTGGGATGTCATTACCTGGAACCCTGGGGACCCTAAAGATGTTTTGGGGTGGGAGTCAGGCCTGGAAGAGAGTGGGCTCTTCTGGGATGGAACAGAGGAACCAAAATGAAACAAGACAAGGAGCTGAGGGGCCCAAGGGCTCTGGAGACGAGGGAGGGCGAGGGAAGAGAGGACCCCACACTGAAATAACATTGTGAAGAAAGGAAGTCCAAATGAGCCAGAGGCAGGACGGCCTCCGTGCAGGGCTGTGGCTCAAGTAGGGCGGCCAGCCCACCCCTTGCCAATCCTTGCCGGCCTGGGGATGCTCTGGCGCAAACTGACCTGTCGTTCACACAGGCCCTTGAGCATGATGCTGGAGTAGCACACGAGTGCCACCTCTGATAGTCTGCCACCCAACTCCTGGGCACCTAGGGGCAGAGGTGAAGGTGGGCACAGGACTGAGAGGTTCATGGTCAGCATGGTAAGGGATGCAGAGGGAGAGATGCAGGGCTGACGTCCAGGGTGAGAATGAACCAGGGCCTCTGAGAATACTCCCTCCACTCACCTGATCAAGCCTTGAGTTCTGGGAACCCAAGGCCTGTCATTGTCACCTGCACCTTCCCAGGTGAGAGTGAGTGACTCTCTGAAAACTTTTGTTCCCCAGCTGCCTCACCTGCCTCACCCCAGTCCCCACCCTGGTGACTGTCCCCGCCACCCTCCTCTGTTCTACGCTCTCAGGCTCACTCTCCCCAGCAACGAAGCCACGGGCATTCAGCGTGGGCTGAGCTGGGGCACCACAAGGACTCCTGGGCGCACTGCCCCACGGCCCAGATGCTCCCCCGCCTTTGCAGGGGCCTGGTCTCTTTCCCGGAGCCCACAGCCGAAAGCACCTGTCTTGGGGGGCACCAGGGCCCTTCAGTTCCTCATTAGGAAACGAGACAACTCCCCTCTGGTGGGAGAGTTGGGGGTTGCTGCATGAAATGTCAAACTGCAGAAATTAAAAATGTAAATGTTGGTATCTAATTAACCAGTTGACAGGAGTGCACAGCTGCAAGTGACAGTGACTGATTGCCTTCTGCCAGCCTCTCCCCGCAAGCGGCCCCCAGCCCCACCCTTCTCCTGGCTAACCTCAGAGAGGGGGGGCATCAGGGCAGGGCAACTGCCTAGAAGAGCCTTCAGGCCCCATGGAGGGGATGTCTTGCGTCTGTGAGAGGGGGAGTTAGAAGGACACACAAGGCAGAATGGACCACTCTTCCGGGAGCCGGGAGCAAAGCCAGTGCAGACGATAGTCGCTCCTTCCTCCTGTCCCCACCCTGTGCACCCTCTGATAGTGTCTGGGTCACCCTCCGAACCCGCTGGCCCCAGACCCGGCGCTGGGAGTTTCCATCTCTCCTCTGCCCCGCACGCACGGTTCCTCACTCCCATGCCTCGGCAGGTATTACTCAGACATCGGGAAGATGCCGGCCATCAGTGACCAGGACATGAACGCGTACCTGGCTGAGCAGTCGCGGATGCACGTGAACGAGTTCAACACCATGAGCGCGCTCTCCGAGATCTTCTCCTACGTGGGCAAGTACAGCGAGGAGGTGAGCCCTGCTCTGCTCGGGGCCCGCTGGGAAGGACTGGGACAGAGACCCAGAGATCCCTGCCCGGAGCAGCCTCTGTGCCCAAGAGCACCACGCCAGACACACCCCTCCCCCACGTCTGCTGGGGAAACTCTACCACCCAGGACTTGGCGGCTGTGCTCTAAAGACGGGGATGCTAGAAACATAGCAGTCTGTCAGTTCTACATTAATCCCTGTTCTTTTCAGATATATAGATCAAGTATCTCTTTTGGTTTTTTTTCTCTTTATTTTTTCTTCCCTGCTGTTCCCTCTCCTTGATTTTTTCCCTTTCTCTCTCTGATCTAATTATCTTTAAGCAAGCAGTTCCCCACTTCCATGGGCAGGTCATAAGGAAAAGAATAGAATAGAATAGAATATAGAACAGAATATAGAATAGAACAGAACAGAATAAACAAGATGATAGGGTAGGAGAGAATCAGAACAGAACAGATACAGACCAGAGCAGAATGGAGTCTGTTTTTAGTTGCTGCATTCCCTAGTTAGGAAACTTCATCTGGGGTCATTGCCCCTGCAGACACTGCCTTCTTTCTGGCCAGCACAGAGGTGCCTATGGTTTTCTTGGTCATACCCGGTATAGACCAGGTAGGTTCAGAATCCAGGCTCCCCATGTCTGAGCAGCAGCATAGCTGCCTTGTGAGTGGAAGGTAGTAACAGGAGCCGAAGCCAGGGCCCCGGGTTCTCTGCTTCCTCCCAGCCTCACTCCCGAGGGAGGTTCTAGGAACTCTGGATTAAGGAAGGAGCCCCAGCAGGGCCCAGGGCCTGGTGTCCACAGGCCATGAGCAGTATAATGCTGTGAACCTCAAGTGCAGGGAAAGTCAGTGGTGGGTCCTCTAGGGGAGGGACCCCAAAGCCAGCCTACGGGCCAGTGCTAATCCAGGGCAGTTTCCACCTGTCTGTGGCCGCGTGACAAGTGAGGACGATGTACAGTAGGCCAATATATGAGTGCCACTGTCTCATCTTGGAAAGGCCTGTACCTTAGTCTGCAAGTTCACTCGTCTACAGTTAGTATTAAAACGTCCCATCTTTATGAAATGTTGGGGCCAGTCACTGGTGGTCCTCGGCCAGCTAAGAAGTTGGCAACTCGCTTGGTCTCCCCAATTAAAAATTTATTACCTGGGCCAGGATGGCCAAAGCTCTGGGACCCTCCCCTCAAGCCTTCAGCCTCCTCTCCCCTCCCTGCTCCCTCAGACCCCAGGACCCGTAGAGAACAGCCCTGCTGTCACGTGCCCCTGCTGGAGCCAGCATTGTGTGATGGGCGCTCACATATGTCACGTGACTTTATCCCCTCTCCTGGAGCAGCCCGAGAGGGAGTCACACGTCCCATCTCATTGTACACATGAGGAAATGAGGGCTCAGAGAGGTTACATGTTTTTCCCCACATCACCCGGCCAGAAACTGGTGGAGCCCTTGTTCAATCCTACAGCTCCTGAGTCTGAGCCAGATTCGAATACATATTCCTTCATGTGTCCACAACTGCTTTGTCACTGTCCTCTGCCACCCATGTAATCTCAGCAAAGGCTGTGTAGACATTGTCCGTTGGGTGTCAATGACCAGTAAAGCTTAAGACATAACTCTCCGAGGGATACTGGTTTCTTAACAGGCAAAGGGGAGCCAAATAACTTGCTAAATGTGGAATTTCAGGCCTTGGGTTGCGGACGAGGAAGACGTTCCTTTTTCACGGTGGGGTGGTGGGGGTGGAATGTCTTGATATCATGAAATCACAGTCACCCCGAGACAGCGCCACACTTCCCACTGGGCATGGACCTGTTTGCTGTCTCACCTCTAGGTAACCGCAGCAGCCTGGCACAGGTGTCTCCTGCCCACTCTCAGCTGTCTTCCGTGGGCAGTGAAATGTCACGTGTTCAGACATGCTGGCGCGTGCGCCGGCATCCTGTGCTCACTGACACCTGGGTGCCCACACATTTGTCCCCTATGCCCGAGCGCTGCCCCGCACCTCCCCACCCCGTCACCCAGGCTGTGTGCCTCCCCTGCCACCTCGTGTGGGCCACTTCACCTGCACACATCCTCCCAAACCCTCTGACCACGCCCCCTGTCTGTTGTACCCTAAGAACACAGACACACACACGCAAACTAGTGACCGCCCCGTTCTTGGCTTTTCCACAGATCCTTGGACCTCTGGACCACGATGACCAGTGTGGGAAGCAGAAACTGGCCTACAAACTAGAACAAGTCATAACCCTCATGAGCTTAGACAGCTGAGAACCGTCCTTCCAGGCACCCCCTGGAGGGAGGGACACACCAAGCCGTGCCTCAGTCTAGATTATCATCTTTACCAAGTGCAAGTTCCGACTGGCGTCAGCAACATCCCCTGAGCAGCGCTATCTCCCTCTCTCTCTGCCTGTTTCTGTCTCTCTCTCCTTCCTGGATCCCCTCTCTTTCAGTTGCTCTACCAACATGATTGAGCCAAGCCACCGACCCTCAGTTAGTCCAGGATGGGCTGCCCCCCCCCCATGAGGGACCTGGTGACCAGAAGACATCAGAGGGGGCCTCTTTCCCCGCTGACCCCACGCACCCGCGGCAGGGCCCGAGTATGGATGAGGATGAAGGATGTTTCTGTACTGTTACTTCACCTTCCGCGTTATGATAGCCCCGCACTGAGCCGAACGCTGGCCTGCGCACGAGGCAGTGAGCTCTGTATCACCTTCACTGGGAAGACGTCTCCTGGCCCAGGTTTCCATCTCCAGGGGGTCTGTCAGTGGCGTGGTCCCTCTGCAACTGTGAGAAGAAAGGCCGCACCTCCTGCGTGTGGCTGGAGTGGGGAGCGTGAGGCGTCATGGGGTGCCTCGCAGGCTGTCTCCCACTTGTTGGATTGGCATCCAGAGGCCTTTCTGTTCCCTTCCAATCCTCTTGGAGCCTTTCCAAGTGCCCATAGGGCCCTGCGTGCCCAGTCTCCTCCCGGCCTGTGGAAAACCAGACAGGAGAAAGAATAGCAGTTACAGCCCACTGTGGAGATCCTCCCAACCTCCCAATCCGGCTCACAGCGGCAGAAATGTAACACGTAGAGGGAGAAAAGAAGACAGCTGCATCTACTCTGGAAGCAGAATTGGTTGTTTTCCACTTGCCTCCACATGCTAACGAATCACGACCACAGTCATGGGTCTGATCCCTTGCAGATCCCCGAGTGCCGTCTAGAGGACACACCTCCATCCTCCTTGGTCGTCGCTCATCAGGGGTCAAGGTAAAATGCCGAGTGCATCTGGGAGATTCTACCTCCAGCTCTCTCCGTGGCTCCCATCCCCACCATCCTTCCTGAGAACTCTGCAGAAAGTTGGGGCAGACAGCCTCACCCCTGGCTCCCTGCAGAATCTGGTGCCGTTGCAGATGCAGATGACTTTGTCTCTGGACTGTTCAGACCTCCTTGGGAATTATTTCATCAACATCTCAGCTGTCTCTTTAGTCACTCCCCTCCCTCAGCTCTTTGGCAGTCATCATGGAAAGAAACACACTCAAGCACAGCCTCCAGAGACAAGCCAAAATGCCAGCCCAACTCAGTCCCAGGTTTGTCGTGTTTGGGAAGGACCGAAGAATCAAGAGGAAGGACCTGGCTGGAAAAGGGAGGAGGGACATACAACTGACCTTGGCTCTGGCATCTGTTACTCCATCTGTCCTTCCATCCACGGATACATCATTTTAGCCAGCCAGACGAATGTGTGCTCAGACATGTGTCCTAGGTGAGCAGGGGCTATAGTGAGAGACGGTCTGATGGAGGATCGTGGAAACCTATAACCATGAAGGGACCTTAGACACCATCTCCATCTGTGGTCCAGTCTCCACCACAGACTCGCCCGGCAGCCCCGGTGTGGAGTTGTACACCACTCTGGGAGGCAAGCAGCGGCATCATCTCAGGTGGGGTTGGGGACAAGGTTCCACAGTCCCGCCTTCACTCCCCGAGCATCAGACATCCTCCCCTGCCATCCACTCCACAGGGGCCCCATGTGGAAAGAGGAGGGAACCACACCATTTCCAGCAACATCTGTGGAACACCCTGTGCTTAAAGAGTGCTAGCCCCTTTGGATATGAGTACGTGTGTGTGTGTGTGTGTGTGTGCGCGCGCGTGTGTGCATGTATGTGTGTGTGTGTGTGTGTGTGTGTGTGTGTGTGTGTGTGTGTGTGTGTGTGTGTGTGTGTGTGTGTGTGTGTGTGTGTGTGTGTGTGTGTGTGTGTGTCTGCCCCAGGAGTAGGCAGAGAGCTCAGAAAGCTTTCTTGTCCTATCAGGGGGATTTGAAGCATCTCCCTTCTCTGCCCTTGCTCACCATTCATTCTGCAACTTCGGGACATTTCAACACTTGTTTTCTGTGCTGAGTGCAGAGGGGTGAGGTCACCTCTCCGTAGGAAATCAGGGTGATCAGTGGCCAAGGGGATCCTGGACAGGACTGGAGGCCGGGCCGTGGTGATGCAGAGCAGGGCATGATGTGGCGTCGAGCAGGACAAATGATGGGCAAAATACAAGTAACCTAAGCAACGGGAAGAGGAGAATGAGAAAATATGCATGTCAAGGGGGAAAAGCATAACCAAAGGTTTTGGCCAATGAAATGCCAGGTGAAGAAGCATGGAATTTCTACCCTTGATCATTTGATTTCCTCCCCAGAGGCCACAAGCCCTGGCAGGCCAGGAAGGAAGCAAGCGGGAGGAGGGCTGAGGAGGCACCTGGGCCGCTAAAATATTTTTGCACATGTGAAGGGGTTGGGGAGAAGAAAGACACAGACATATTTAACACAGATGTGCTGAATGGAAGCTGTGAGTCTAAGTATGTGTGTATGAGTGTGTTTTTATTTTTTAAGTTTTGCACAGTTAGAGAAAAAAATGAACAAGTAGAAAAAAGACTGTTATCACGGTTCTGCTGAAGCTTTTCTTTTTTTACCGGATTATCATTATTGTTTCGTTGTCGGTACAAATTTTTTTCCCCATGTTTTTGTTGTAAGAGAAACTTCAGTCACCTCGGGAGAAATGTCAGGAAGAAAGGGGGGAGGCGGGTGGACAAGTTTCCAGGCCCTCCGCATCTCTCCTGGGGGAGGGGTTTGGGGCAGGTTTTATTTTAATTGGTGGGGTGGGTTGTTTCTGGCGCTTTATTTGCCCGAAGTCTCTGTGGCCTGCTGGGGGGGATGGAGAAATAGGATCGAATTTCGCAGCGTCACAACCCATCTTCCCCATAAGAGCTCTCTTTCCTTTTGCTGTTTGTTTTCCATTTCTTTGGTTTGGATTCTTGGCGCACGTGTGATACGTTTCAAAGTAAAGACAAGGCAGCATTGTCAAAAAGCCTCTTTTTCCCCCAGATCTTCTTTCCACACCTCCCCTTGGAATGCCCAACCTCCTCCTGGCAGGCCAGAGACCCCATGCTGGCCAGTACGTGCCAGAGAAGACACTTGGGCAGAATGGGTCCTCTGGAAGGGAAGTCTCTTCAAGGCCCCGCCCCGTGTCACAGTTAATGTTCAGGGTCACAGTTCCGTTTAAGGTGGGGCCTTTATCTGACTCCTTGAGTTGTGGGCAGAGAGCAGGGGAGAAAAGGCCATGTCTCCTCACCTCCCTTTCATCCCATCTCTTTCACTCTTTCAACCCCTTGAAACCACCAGGGTCCAAAATGGTACCAGGAGATCACACCGTCGAAATAACTGACCTAGGTGAGGTAAGGAGTCTGAATGTTGAAGCGAGATGGGATGGCGAGGGGGAGGGAGAACTTCACGAGGTCCTGAATCTAAAAGAATGAGGGACAGAAAGGCTGGGAAAGTTAACTGCAGGCTGATCATCTCTCCCGGGAGCACAAGTCTCCCCCAGGTCTGGGCTTTGCCATTCTCTGTCCTTCCGTGGAAGGAGAAACCCTGACATTTCTTGGTTAACTGCAAATCGTACCTTTAAGTGAAGTTGGCTGTTGTGTCGGTTTTACTTCCTCAGGAAACATTTTTTCTTGCCTTCTGCTCTCAGGGTGGTTTGGAAGTCAGGGACCCAGGATAACCTGAGCGTCCCACAGGCCGACCGTGATGTGCCCTAGAGCCTCCCTCTCGTGAGCCCGTGGGCCAGTGAGTGAGGCCAGAGATGCTAGCAAGAGAGAGATCAGTTTAAGCAAATCCCGACATTTGAGGCAGACTGTCCTGGACTGTGCCCAAGCAGCGGCGGGAGCGAGGTCTCTGACCTTGCCCCGGAAGGCCCAGCTCTCACCTCCCAGGCCGGGATCAGTATCGATGTACTATCCCAGCACCACACCCCCTTCCCCTCACCCCAGGTCCTCATGCTCCCTTCCCCTTTGCATGCCTGGCTCCTGAGTGCCCCCTCCCCACTTGCCTACCACACGCACGCACGCGTAGCCTCTGCCCCAAGACACCCGTAGCCACTAAGTTCAGGAGCTGCTCAGCCCCCGGTGGACAGCTCCACCCTCAGTCCAGCCCCCTGGGACCGCCCTAACCCCCATCCAGCCCTCCAAAGCTGCCTCGCCCCGAGAACGCTCTCGGGGCTCCCTGGCCCAGCCAGGGCCGGTGGGCCCCCCCATCAGAGGATCCACAGCAGTGATTTCCCAAATGGCCTCCATTCCACAAAGCAAGTCCTGCTGTTTCCAGAGCCCTAAACAACCCCTCGCTCTCCCTTTTAGGGAAAGCTCCTTATCCCATCCGTCTCAGCTCTTAGGACAAAGGGGCACTTCCTTTGGCCTCACAGGATGCAAAGTCAAATACTTAACGCAGTGAAGGCTACGGTTAATTACTGTTAATCAAAAACAGAGAGCCGTGGAGGGAGAGGAGCTTTGGCCCTGGACCACGGCCCTAACAGGAACTGGCCTCGCCAATGAGAACCGCAGCGCGGGCGGCTGAGAGGCGATCCCATGAATGAAAAGCGTCCAGGTACCAGAGTCCCCACTGTGCCCCCAGCAGATCCGCCCCGGACAGATCCCACCTCCTTCCTGGCCCTTCCTCTTGCTTCTAGTTCACGTCCTCAAGGACCTTCTCTCAGCCCCTCACTTTCCCTGTCAGCTCTCAGGATAGACCACTGAGCCCCCCTCCCATCCCTCAGCCCTTCCCTTTGTCTTCAAGCCGTAGGTTGGCTGTTTATTTGGGGTCTGTAGTTGTTTATTTTTTGTTTGTGTATTTTAAGGGTTTGAGATTAAGGAGGGAGCCCAGGCGTGGATGTAAAGTCCAAATACTGGGGTGGGGCAGGGGGAACACAAAACCCTTTATCTGTGACTTCCAAGGGGATGAGGAGAAACTGGAGACCGG